TGGTGATATACGTGCAGTTTCAACATGCCTGTGCTAAACTAAACTAACCTTTGGGGTCAGAAACCTGCACTTCACATATATTTATTATCTACAGTGAGGTTCAAAAGTCTCACCGCGCACCAAGGCTACATTATTTGATCAAAATACATTAAAAACTGTATGTGATTGTGAGATATTAGTACAATTTAAAAGAACTGTTTTCTGTTTGAATATGTTTTCAAATGTAATTCATTCTTGAAATGGTAATCTGAGTTTTCAGCATCATACTCCAGTCTTCAGTGTCACATGATCCTTCAGAAATCATTCTGATATGCTTATTCGATGCTCAAGAAACATTTCTTAATATTATCGATGTTGAAAACAGTTGTGCTGCTTACATTTTGTGGAAGCCATGAAACTTCAAAGAACAGCATTTATTTAAAATAGAAATCTTTTTTTAACAATGTAAAGGTCTTTGCTGTTACTTTCGATCAATTTAATGCATCTTTGATGAAGAAGACTATCAATTGCTTTAACTTCACAAACACAGGAAGCTTTTTACTGCTAGTGCAACAAATGAAGAGCAAAGGATGTGCAATTTGCACACCAGTGACACGTGTAACTAGAACAGATCATCTTTGAAATTACACCAAACTTTCCCCACTACAATAATTTCTTTGTGTATGTGTCAATGGCTGAAAAAGTTCTTCCTTCCCAGAACCTCACCTCATTAGCTTTGTAAAAGAAACAAACAAGAAATACAGGACCGAGCTGTCAGTCATATACATTTTTCAAGTATTCAAAGACATTTTTCAACTACAATTAGGCCATCTAAGGCAGCTTCAGGTTTATTCTGACCTAATTCTGTTCCTGTTTCATCCCCTACTAAACTTACACAGCATACTGTATACACATTTATGTACTTCTTTTATATTTCCCTAACAGCTCATTTTAACAGACATTTGCTTGCACATCTCTTTCCATATTTAGGTTTTGGTTTCTTTAGATGAGATGAACTCTAGCAGGTCACTTGTGGGTGCTCGTGACGAAGGTGGCAAATTGGAGCAGAAAGCTCAAGTAGATCCATGTATGTCAATGCAAGGCAGCACAATATCAGCATTATTATGGCAGTGTGTAAATGGGACAGATGTGTGTGGTGGGTTATGTGTCCTGATGTCAGTGCAGCTGTGCTGGCTTTTATAAGCTGATGTTTCACTCAAAGTTGCACTGTAGTAACCTCACAGCATCTGCATTGGTTTGTATGTATGAGAGTGGCGCGCATGTTTTAAAGCTCCTCCCCCCCCCTTGCCTTCAGTGGGTTGATATGCCCATATATGGGGGATGAGATGAGTCTTGTGGTGTGAGAGATTTCAGCCAATCAGAGCACTAGGAGGGTTTTTGGGGAGGGGAGGGTGGAGGATACTGTAGGGGTGATGGTGCCACCGGTTGAGGGTGTGGTTACGGAGGAGGGGAAGCTCTGTGTTTGAAAATGAATGTGCTACATGCACATTTGTAGGGCGTGAGGAAGCGGCCATCATTTTGGAGTCAGACATTAAGGAAACCAAAGAAACAGGCATTTCAGCTTCTGATACAGAAAAGCCAAAGACAGAGCAGCGTTTTCCAGCCTGTAAAGATGCACTGTAAGTCCATTTTTGTTTTTAATGTTAAATGATGGTTTTATATGGAGTTGGATGAATCACAGCCCTAAACACTGGGAGTTAGTTTCTAAAGCAACAGATCTGTGTTTGTGATGTGTGTATGATTATTGGTATTTGACTTGTTTAGATCCTACTGAATGTGAATTGTGATATGAATTCGTTCATGCCGGGTGAGATGATTTTTGCATATGAGCGATTTGGTTTTAGTGGAAATATACATGCCTATATTTGTCAAACACAAGTTAAATAAATGAGAAAATGGCCATTGGAAAGTGTCCTCTTTATCCTCTTGTTATTCCGAGCAAGATCGCAGCTCTCTGTGCCGGCATACAGATGGTCATTTTTCGGGTGGGGGCTGAGTGTAGCTGACAATTGCTGCCAGCATCAGCTGTGGAAAACCCCTCCCTCTCCTGTCCTCCTGTGGAGTCCTGTATGTATTGTTAATGCCGGCCTGGACAGCACGGCGGAAACATAGGTTTGCAAAGCCCTTGTGTACATTCAAGGTGCTGCATTCATATTCTTTCATCATTCTGCTGGGCAGATGCAATTGTCGTCATAACAGCTGTGATTGTGTCTGAAAAATTGAGGGAAAAAATCAGGAGAATTTAAACCGAGCTTGTCAAATTGTGAGGTGTTTAGGATTTGAGAATGTATTTTATTATTATTAATTATCCATCCAGCTGAGGATTTGTTCTAGTATAATCAACCGAAATCAAAATATCATTATTAATAGTATATCAAGAACTCATCATCAGCCCATCATGCTTGAATGAGTCATTCACTGTTTTGCTGGTGAATCATATTTAAATGTCTAGTTCTTTGACAGAAGTGTTTTATGATTATCAAGGCTGCATTTATTTGATCACAACTACAGTAAAACAGTAATATTGTGAAATATTATTCCAATTCCAAATAACTTTTTATTTTATTATATTTTAAAATGTAATCTATTCCTGTGATGGCAAAGCTGATTTTTTTTAGCAGTCATTACTCCAGTCTTCAGTGTCACATGATCTTTTAGAAATCATCCTAATATATTTGTTGCTCAAGAAACATTTATTATTAGTATTGAAAACAGTTGTGCTGCTTAATATTTTTGTTGGAAATGTGACATGTTTGTCAGGATTTAAAAGAACAGCATTTGTTTGAAATAGAAATCTTTTGCATTATAATAAATGTGTTTACTATGACCGTTGATTAATTTAATGCATCCTTTCTGGAACAAATAATTAATTATTTAAAAAAAAAAATGTCTAACAGACCCTAAACTGTTAGTGTAGATGTCGGATTGAGCCAGATGCAAAAATACACCAGGAGTGTTGACAGAAAGTCCCTCAGCAGTGCCAGAGTGGAAAATACAGGACTACTGGATCCCACAAGCACCAAAGATGTTGTTGTTGGACACCACATGGTTCTTTTTGAGAATATATATATATATTTATATATATATATA